GTTACATTGTACACCTTGTGTTGCCGTAATAAACACCTCTACCTACCCTTTCAGGGATAAATAGATGTTGTGTCCAACGCAGGTGATGTTATGTTACCTATATTATGTGAAAAAGTAAGTTTAATTTACAAAAACTTGATAGTATGATCAACGAAATAGATAGACGGTATTGTGTGACGAAAAAACAACCCTAATTATTATCATTACAATATTTAAATATTATTGAAACATTAACTATGTTTTACACACACTTCGACATGACTTAATACTAGTAGGTCACTCAGTGTGTGTGTAAATAGGTCAGGGCTATCTTTTTCGCTATCGTTTATTTATTAGTAAGTAGTATGAACTTATAGTGTTTCAACAAAAAATACATTAAACCGGTAGGTAGTGAATAGGGCTTGTCTTCTAGCACTTCTACTCTCTACAACGTCCCATTTTCTAGAAAATTTCTGCATCACGCCATACAAAAACTACAACGATGAATCAAATCTCGGTTACAGAAACAAGTTATAAGTTGTTATAACGGTCCGAATTTCGCTAATACTTATAAATAACCAGTCTTAAGTCACACCTGTAGTATGTGGCTCAAATAAATAATTAAAACATGTTTTAGTACCATATATCATTATAAAAACGATAGATACAAAATTATTTCAATCATGGCGCCCGACGCGTTTGACATAGTTCGTTTAAAAATGGAACACTTTTCTCACTGGCCGATAATTTTGCTCATCAATCATTGTGACGGAAAATGGCGTTTAGTTTGTGGTCATTTGTGATAAGTGATTTTCATTAAAAACTATCTATAGTAGGATAGATGCCTAATTTTTATTTTAATGTCCGTCTGGTAGATTATTTTAAATCATTAGACACTTTTTTTTATTTTCTTACAGAAACGAATACTTTCGACGATATATTGATTTGAAATATCGCGTGACGTCACAATACGCTACATTTTGTAGCACTAGAATAACGTAACGACTCCTAAACTTAACTCCATTTTATCTAAGTATTTTAACTTTATACGAGAAAATAAAAAATACGTGTCTAATACATTTTCATTATCTAACTGACGGACTGATTAGATTTTTAATTTTCATTCCCTGGCAACTACCCTATTAGGAATGACAATTGAAAACAGAACAAGCGCGCTGGCTCGATATTGTTGTTGAGAATTTCGAAAATTAAAGTATCCAATAACATTTTCCTCATAGCAATCGAGCCCGATTGTTACCTCATTCTGGGAAAATTACTGCCTAGTCACTTTGAATAACAATGGCACCCGGTGGTCTTATTAGATCCTGTATCAAAGCGTGTCAAGAGGATCATCTTACTGGAGCACCTTCAGTCCGTTCGTCCATGCGTCAAAGGACTGGAACCTTTGTTGTTTACTGTTATTTGAGCAGTAATGGATAGCGAAAACATAGAAATAGAATCATTTTTGCAATTTGCGTAACAAACATTATAGAGGTAAAAAAGGAAAATTTTATACTTGTATCTAATCTTACATTAGGTATGATATTAATAAATAGGATTTTAACAACATACATAACACAACACCTATTATCCCCGAAGGGGTAGGCAGAGGTGCACATTATGCCAATGTACAATGTAACACCCACTTTTCACTATTTATGTTATGAGTCGCATGTAATAGGGGGTGAGCCTATTGCCATATACCGGGCACAATTCCAAACTCCGTGCTACTACTGAGATTTTTTTTAAAAACCCAGTATAAAACTTTGCCCGACCCGGGAATCGAACCCGGCAGTCGCACTTGCAACCACTCGGCCAACGAGGCAGTCATGAATAGTATTTTAAATTGGACTGTTATCGATGTATGTCTATTAATGTATATAAAAAACCATCACGGTTAGACTTCTTTAAAATAACTGAATATTCAACGACAATAATTACGATATAACGATTAAAATGTGTTATGTGTATGTTATAACATTGTCATAAAACGAAATACACTCGTAAAAATGTTTGTAAACAAGAATAATGTCCAAAATCCATTTGTTTAACTTGTACAAAAACGTAATTTATACTTGTAGGCACATACACTTTAGCATCGCAATACTTCATTTTACTTCGAACATTTTATTTTTATTTTATCGCTCATAAATCGTTGTTTTATGAAACTCAACGGCGCAACAGGTTGAAATCGATACTACGCACATTTGACCCAATTTCAATATTAGCCATAACCATGGACAATAATAGTACAGCTCTCCTTTTAAAGGTCAAAGGCGAGATTGTACATATCTTGCTATAGATATACATATTTGTATGTACTGGGAATGTTCCCTACATAGTCTTATCCATACGGCGTTTGATGTTGAAAATGTATGTACGTTGGAGCCACGTTTGAACTAACTCGCCGTTTAGGTAGAATACCTAACGTATTCATGTATGTTAACCGTAATTATGAATTTTGTATTTAGTTTTATGTTTACTTTTGTTGCTCTGGTTTTACTTTGTAATTAGGCTCGTTTTGTAGTCAAAGAAGAGAAAAGATAGGTAGAAGGGATTAAACCATCATAAAACAACGTCTAACTACAACAAGATACAAGCAGAGAACAGAGTACAATAATTGGCACCACCTTCTCTTGCCACGGGTCATGTAAGAGCCGACCAAGGGATCTTTTTTATATTTGATGGGCTCTGACCACTATCTCACTTATCGTGGTAATCGATGATGCGGTCTACGATGCACGTCGTCCCATAAGCAACCTATTCACTCGGGCCTTGACCTTCTTTATTATATCTATGGCACCGACATTTGATAGACTGTGTGACAGCCATTACTTTTTAATAAACTGTGGTATCTAACCCTCTATCTCCAACAGACGCTACATAAGCCAGACCAGGGTGCTTACTCTCAAAACCAATTTCAATATCAATGCAATTTCAATCCAATAAAATCTCAATAATTATTCAATGTCAAAACTATACCATCCCTATCGTAGCTGTTAAAATAGCATTCAGAGTACGGAATATAAATTACGGATGCAATGGGCGCTAATATTGCAACTCAAAAGTAAGAAATTTCACAATACTAAAATCGATCGATCGGAATTGGATTCAAGAGTAAGCCTCCAAAAGTCAGATAGTGTTCTGGCAAGATCAGGACAGATAAAATCATGATAAGAAATGATTAAGGTCAAAGATCATCACTGCAGTTAATGGTCATTATAATGTTCATCGTTTGTCAATCTAATTTTGTTTGATGTAGGCAAATACATAATGTTGAGATAAGGTATGTTTGCAAAAGAAAATGAAAGTACCAAAGAATTGAAAATATTGATCCTGAGTAATATATCAGTAATATTATAAATGCGAAAGAGTCTTTCTATTTGTCTTTCTTTCACTTTATGATTTTAGTATCTAGAGAAGTTTAGAGGCCACGAAGCGATATAAATCAAGACATCTAAAGCTGTTAAAAATAAAATTAGATCAATAGATGTATAGTAATAAATCTAACTTAGCCTTTTATTTTCATAATGATCCCTATTAAGTATAGAAATGTTTTTCTAAAACCTAGATTTCTGTGATCTAGGCTTTCTCTCTAGTTTTTCATTATGTGTGAATAAATTAATTATAGGTGTCTTGATTAATGTGTTGTTGGCATATTTAGGACGAATAAAATGATTAAAATTCTTTGCTGTTTTGTGATCTATGGATTCGTGACAGGCCGAAATACAATTTATTTTGTAAAATGGTCTGTCAGGATGTGGCGTCTATTGATTATCATAATTACGCATCAACTGTTTTAAGATGCGGATGTTGTAGGCTGCGCGACATCGCCGTGACCGCGAACGCTGCTCATCAGGAAGAACCCTCTGTGGTTCGAAACAAGTAGAGCTTTTCTCAGTATATTCACGTGAGTAACCCGCGATTTTTAGTTAATTTAGTATGTCTCACGATGGTTATTATAAAAACATGTTTTAGGATGTTTAGAATTACTTTTCATTATCAAATCATAGAAGATATCTACTATCTGTAGCATTACCAAGAGACACCAGACAGACAGTCTAGTTTATTACCTAAATAACAGAAAAATATTTGAGGTATACCCAATTCTGACTTTTTGAGGAATACAAAACACGTGGGAAGGTAAACCTTTCTTCTCAAAAATCGTCCAGATGATACATGAGAGGAATTATTCACCCTAGTATAGCGGCTTGGGTTTTATATTATATGGTCTTCATCCATTTCATTATATTACCTATCCTTAAACCTGTCCTCATTGCCGTAATAAGCAGGATATCAAGCCAAGTACTTATCTGTGTTAGATTCCTGAATTATTTATTCATTCACATTCTCATGTAGATATTCATTGGCTCAATGACAGCATAGAAATTGAAAATTACATCTACTTTTAGACAACATTCGCACACGACGAGACTCATACAACAGCGTTGGCTGCGCGAATTTCACCATGTCGTTTGTCGCGCAATGCTACTCATAATTATGAACCCCGCGCGTCGTTTGAAAGTAGTCAGGTTACCTCAACAAAAAGTTACATGATTACGCTGTTAAGCACGAAATATATTGCTATTCATTTAAGTTAAAATTAGTAGGTACACATCAAAGGCATCAGTTCAAACAATCCCATTAATATTCTAAAGGACCATTCAATATCCTTAACGTTAACAAAATTCCAATCGCACTATTAACACTACTTTGAACCAAAAAAACAAACAGGAGAAGCCATTAAGCATTTATGTAACAAAACAATGAGTCACACAGATAATGTTATGCTGCTAGCATTCCCATTTACTGGTGTCCCATACAAAATGATAAGAATTCCCTTTTTGTTAGTACGATAGTGGCATTCGCTTCACAAATACGTTTAAAGTTTATTCTGTGATTTTAAAACATTTTAATCAATAAATAATATTTTTTCAACTCGGCTGAAAACGAAAACACAAAAAAGATAAAAAAATTATCGTTCTTTTTTTAAATTTTAGTTTCTAGTGTTCTTTTTTGAAATGGCGAAGTTAGTAATTTTAGTGTTGTGCGTAGTGCTTATGTATATGATATCGGCAAAATATGTCGATAAAAGGAAGTGTCCTGAAGTGAGAGCAGTGCCGCATTTTGATTTGCCACGGGTTTGTTATTTTAATTAAGATTTGATTTTATTCGTTATTTATTTTAAACTAACATTTTAGTTACCTATTTCAGGGGAATTACCAATCGTTATTTTTTTTACTTTGTAGAATATAGGTACCTATTTCCAAATATTTAAAACAAATTAAGTAAGTAGTGTAACGGTCTCGTCCGCTTTGTTCAACTTTACTATATTCATAAATGACATCATTCTATGACCGTCATTAAGTAACGACGTGTGCCAAGCATTGTGATTTCTAGGTAGGTTATTCCCTAGCTAGATGGTTCTAGAAGTTTTATACCTACTGAGATATAAACTAAACTTATTTATTTAGAAAAATATAATAAATCTAAACTCGCATTTACATAAAAACAGCCTGAGTATTCTTATTAATAATATCAAAATAAAATAAATTTAAAAGCTAGTTTTTAATCATCAAAACATAAATAATTATGATATTTTGATTATCGACATTTTTATCGATATTATTAATAATTCATTTTGGCGGAAACTAGTTGTATATATTCGATTATAGTTAAGTAGGTTATTGTAGAAGTAATTAATTTGTGTACACGCGAAGCTTTGTGTGTGGCCTGTGCCTACTTGTTTAAGGATTTTATGAATAAGTAATTATTAAACGAATTCTTTCAATGGCCATTGACTAAATGATAATTTGTAACCTAGATTTATATTATAACTTTCGTGAGACCTACTAAATTAATTATTATGTCTTTCGGCTTAATCACGTAATTATCTGAAAGGTTGCAGGGTAGTTTCCTAAATTTTATTTTAATGTCTGTCTGGTAGATTAATTTAAAACATTGGACACGTATTTTTCTTTTCTTACAAAATTAAATACTTTCGACGATATATTCATTTGAAATATCGTGTGACGTCACAGCGTGCTACATTTTGCAGCACGTTGTGACGTAACGACCTCCTACTCCTAAACTTGACGCCATTTTATCTAAGTATTGTTTTCTTATACGACCAAATAAAATAATACGTGTCTAATATTTTTACATTACCTAACTAAAGGACTAAATAAATATTTAATGTTAATACCCTGGAAAAACCGAAAAACATAATAATAGACTGTATACCAGATTTTTATAAATTAAACTGTTTTGCCATAGATTGTTTACTGTAGCAATAGGTAGGCTGGTCACCCAGGTAAAAAATAACCGGGGTAAAGTAACTATTAGCACGTTTATCTAAGACGTGATAATACCTAGACACTGTTAAAGTCAAGATCGTTAATAAAATCGCCTTCATATTTCGAAGACTCGTATCAGATTTAAAGGTTTTAATTGTCATAGATGTTTCATTATTACATGAAACTGTCGATCTTACAGTTTACTATGCGAAGCACTATCAATTTTTTTAACAAATAATAAAAGCAATATAAAGTCACGTCTGAAAGTCTCCATTTATTTTATTGTCCTATTCAGAAGACCATTAATGTAGGTATGAACTTTATTAACTTTTATCGCGTCAGTTTTCGTGAAAATAAGTGAAAACTGGATCAAATAGAAACCGAGTTCCGTGAGTTTTTGAGAGAGTAAATGCTCTGATTTTCTCTTATATCCTTATAATTGACTTTCTGAGTAAAACAAAGTGCTTTAAGGTCAAGTTTAAACGGTCTAAGTATCAGGTTACTATTGATTTTGAACACAGAGTTTTCCATTCTTGCCTGAATAAAGGTCTTCTTATTTATATAGGGTCTTTTCTTAGTATCGTTGTCGTACCATTATAGGCTTTCTGTATTTGCTATTTTTTATTGGTTTAAACAATTGTAATTGATGAGAGTGATAACATCATCGTCAATAATAGGTACGTCACAGTCCATTGCTAGATAAAGTGCCTTTTCTACATAAGAGGGTATGTCATAATCTCTATGCTTTCTTTTGAGGGGGAATCTATCCATTGACTACTCCCACCAGGGTAAGACGAGAAGGAGTGTCAGAGTGTTATAGACTAACAACTACTCCTATCCTACTCCTGCACTTCGAGCCGGAGCCCCGGCAATCTCTACACTTGGCTAAATAATATGGCTTAATAAACTTTTATCTGTTGAAACACCGCTTCTCGGCATAAAACACATTATATCCGTAACATTCAACAGACAAGAGGATATGAGTAGAATACTTTCAATTATCATAACTTAGTAAATAATATACTTTCTGTCCAGCATCTATAGACTATCTCAATATCTCTGTTTCAATGAACATTAACGACTCAATAAAATAAAATAATCGTAAAAATCTTGCGAACAACGTAATCGAAATGTAATGAAACGAGAAATGCCTGATGGAGAGCTCTTTATAATCAACTACGTCAAGATTTCTGTTTACAATCCCGTATCGAAGGATCATTCGAGGATCTTTCGATGTGATTGTGATGTTCATTGAGAAGGGATCCCTTGCTTAGTGAACCGAGAACGCCAGTCTGTAGGAATGTTCGAAAATAAAACTATTTCCTTTGGGCTTGAAAAAGGTGGAATATATTTTCGTTTTGGTATTATTTTTCTGCTAAATAGCTGTTGTATTGTGGAGTAAAATAACTACTTAAGTATTATTGCCCTGTTGTATTTATTTTATACTTTACTAGCGAACCCAACAGACGTTGCCCTGCATATCCACTTGAATGTACCTCTATAAACAAAAATTCATTCAAATTAGTTCAGCTGTTTACGATAAGTAACCTAAAAATCGACTGCAGCGCCATCTGCCAGGCTGATTTGTGAATCTAAACCATTACCAGATCCCCTTGAATACACACAAAAAATTTCATCAAAATCAGTCCAGCCGTTTGAGAGAAGTTCAGTGACATACAGTGACAGAAGAATTATATATATAAAGATTGCAAACACACATAAGTTAGTTTACGTTGCAATAGTAATTAGTATCTTACCTAGGTATCAAAGTATCTACCTATATGTTGACTTTATGAATAGTGTGGGGTGGGAGGTATACCCATTATTTTAATTCAATTTTTAACATAATCGAGAAATAATAAGTAACGACTGTGCGATACAGTTAGTTATGTTCGTGAGTCGTATGTATGCGTAGGCGCCGGACACGGCTTGATAAGCAAACGCCGTTCAATTACCCAATGAGTTGCGAACCTGAATATGATTTCATTGTCAATAAAGTTTTACACTTTTATGTACCTAGCATAAAATATTAGGCGATTAATGCAATTCATACTGGAGCATTTCTCCAGCACCTATGATATTGCATTTTTTTATTATTTAAAGAATCAGTCTAGCATAATATTACAGAAAAAACATCATAATAACATAACATCACGCCTTTTATCCCCGAAGGGGTGGGCGAGGTGCACATTTCGGAACTTTGTCACAGTACAATGTATCACCCACTTTTCACTATTTATGTTTTGAGTCGCATGTAATAGTGGGTGAGCCGATTGCCATTTACCAGGCACAATTGCAGACTCCGTTGACGACTCCGACTCTGAATAATAATCTACAAAAATAAACCTTATCAATATGGGACAACATATAAATACTGAATATCCTGTACTCATTTCAGTCGTATATCTTAAGAACTAGTATTTAAATGCAGGAGGACACCTATACGGAAATAAATCCTTACTTTTAAAAGTTGAGTACACAAAATACAAACATATCCAAGACTACAATAACCAACAAAAGACACTCTCACAATTCTCAACCTAATGTGTATCTACATTAGTCATCTTTTATTAACAATACTATGTCATAACCAGATTACACTAAGACCGGTAACAAACCCCATTGTTGCATGATCAAGATCTGATCAGCAAGTGTATGGGCTGACATCTCAATAGGTAGATATTAGCATACAGACACAATACTGTTATTATGTCTATCTAGTTCTAGATACATTGAAAGTGAATATTTGATTATTACAATGTTACTTTCTATTTTATCTTAAAGAGTAATGTGATCTAATATCTTAGTGTCTCTTGGTTTATATTTGTTGTGATTAACTGATTATGTATCCTCACACGGTCATAGCAATCATGATTTTTCAAACTTAAGCAGATGGCTTCGAATATATGATTCTATAATACTGGACCACTATCCAGGATAACGTAAGTAAAAATAAACAATTGTAGCAACAGGAGTCAAAAGACTGGCACAGGGTGTACTTTTTCGTGAATATCACATACCTAAGTTATTGTAGTTTAAATTGTAACTTAGATCTTTTTTATATTTTTATGATACCTTTTGGAACTTCGCCGATCACCTGGTGCCATTGGATTGTCGAATTCAATGATATCCTGTATATGTACCTACCTACAATATTATGTAGGGACTTTTTTTTTAAGGGGGGAAATCATCGAATGACTGCTCCCGCCTGGGAAGGGAGTGTCAGACTCTTACTGACTAAAAACCACCCCGTTCCTTCTCCTGCACGTCGAGCCGGAGCCCCGGTTACCCGTTAGGTTCTCCGCGACTATGTAGGGACTTAAGGTTAATTTATCAGTTTTCGACACTTGCTTATAAATATTGGGATTTCTGTGATTATTTTGATTAAAAGGAAATATGTCATGTTGTGTTGATCCTTGGTTGACCCTCGGTGGATTGCAGGGCTGAAACGTTGTCAAAATTTTAATTATTGGCTTTGAATTTGTAAATGTGTGGGTATTATTCCACCCCATGTTACATGGAATTTATAACAAACTATAGAAACAGTCACATTGCCTGCTGCCAGTAAGACAACCTTGACAAATTAGTTTGTTGTTGGTAAGGTGTAAGGAAAAAGATAACGTCGGCTATCACTTAGCCCATAGTGTGAAGAAGTTACAATCGCACTGGACTCTCTGTTACGAAAGCGAGAAGCCGAAAACAGGACAAGAAAGAGGGAAATAACAGATTGCAATGAAAGTCTTCCGAAATGAAGCTAACGCGAGCTATTGACAATAAGGTGAAGAAAAACATACGTAGGCATGGAATTATTTTATATGTAGATATGGCAATAGATAAATATTGATGGCTCGGATAAACCTTAAATAAAACCTGCTTTTGGGAAAGGTACAAAAAAGTATGGGATGATATTTGACCAACATCTAAACCCTCTTATGTGGGTCTTTTACCAGATAAAAGTGACTTACTATATTACGTGTACCTCTATCTACCCCATTTTTTCCTTATCGACTCGTAGTCATACCAGATTATCACACCAGTATGACAAACAGGATTTTTTTTCTCGTTTGTCACACCACTTATTTTTCTACACCATTTATTCTTAACTAGTGCTGTCCTAGAGCTAAATTAAAAATCATCAAATTATCAAGTTTTTATTAAATTGATGCCTTTATTTAATTAAATGTGTAACATAAAGTAATAATAAACTATGTAGTGTGGTATAGTAATAATATGTACGAACAGGTAGTAAAAAAAAACTCATAGGGCGTCAATTATTATAATTAAGTTTATGGCGAAAAGAGAAATCAATTGGTTTGAAAAGTAAACTACATAAAAGAATCCATCCCTATCTATATCAATGGGAAAGGTGCCCAGAACGCTGGCAGCATTGCCACGTTGGATGGCAATGCTGATTCGTTGACAAAAGAAAAGCCCGGCCCTCTGGTCACGCGAAGAGTCGACGTTTACTGATATCTCGAACAACACGATGAGCGCATGTAATTTCCGATAAGGTTATTATATATTTGTGCCGCTGAGGGTTTCTGCACTTGCGGCAGCCGCCCCAGCACAACCTGCCGTAGTCAGAAGATGAGATGGCGAAGGGTATCGACATATGTTGCAAACCTTTAAATTAAATTAACTATCGAGTGTCCTCGAAATCTATCACTTTCGGGCGTCCTCGAAATCTATCGAGCGTCCTCGATCACTTTCGAGCGTCCACGAAATCTATCGGGCGTCCTCGATCACTTTCGAGCGTCCTCGATCACTTTTGAGCGTCCTCGAAATCTTTCGAGCGTCCTCGAAATCTATCGAGCGTCCTCGATCACTTTCGAGCGTCCTCAATCACTTTCGAGTATCCTCGAAAACTATCGAGCGTCCTCGATCACTTTCGAGCGTCCTCGAAATCTATCAAGCGTCCTCGATCACTTTTGAGCGTGCTCGAAATCTATCGAGCGTCCTCGATCACTTTCGAGTATCCTCGAAAACTATTGGGCGTCCTCGATCACTTTCGAGCGTCCTCTAAATCTATCGAGCGTCCTCGAAATCGATCGAGCGTCCTCGATTACTTTCGAGCGTCCTCAAAATCTATCGGGCGTCCTCGATCACTTTCGAGTATCCTCGAAATCTATCGGGCATCATCGATCACTTTCGAGCGTCCTCGATCACTTTTGAGCGTCCTCGAAAACTATCGAGTGTCCTCGAAAACTATCGGGCGTCCTCGATCACTTTCGAGCGTCCTCGAAATCTATCGGGCGTCCTCGATCACTTTCGATCGTCCTCGAAATCTATCGAGCGTCCTCGATCACTTTCGAGCGTCCTCGATCACCTTCGAGTATCCTCGAAAACTATCGAGCGTCCTCGATCACTTTCGAGCGTCCTTGAATTCTATCGAGCGTCCTCGATCACTTTTGAGCGTCCTCGAAAACTATCGAGCGTCCTCGAAATCTATCGAGCGTCCTCGATCACTTTCGAGTATCCTCTAAAACTATCGAGCGTCCTCGATCACTTTCGAGTATCCTCTAAAACTATCGAGCGTCCTCGAAAACTATCGAGCGTCCTCGAAAACTATCGAGCGTCCTCGAAAACTATCGAGCGTCCTCGAACTCTATCGAGCGTCCTCGAAATCTATCGAGCGTCCTCGATCACTTTCGAGCGTCCTCGAAATCTATCGAGCATCCTCGATCACTTTTGAGCGTCCTCGAAATCTATCGAGCGTCCTCGATCACTTTTGAGCATCCTCGAAAACTATCGAGCGTCCTCGAAATCTATCGAGCGTCCTCGATCACTTTCGAGTATCCTCTAAAACTATCGAGCGTCCTCGATCACTTTCGAGCGTCCTCGATCACTTTCGAGCGTCCTCGAAATCTATCGAACGTCCTCGAAATCTATCGAGCATCCTCGATCACTTTTGAGCGTCCTCGATCACTTTCGAGTATCCTCTAAAACTATCGAGCGTCCTCGAAATCTATCGAGCGTCCTCGATCACTTTCGAGCGTCCTCGAAATCTATCGAGCATCCTCGATCACTTTTGAGCGTCCTCGATCACTTTCGAGTATCCTCTAAAACTATCGAGCGTCCTCGATCACTTTCGAGCGTCCTCGATCACCTTCGAGTATCCTCGAAAACTATCGAGCGTCCTCGATCATTAAACCAAGCATTGCATTTACACCCAGCCAGTACCTACTAGATAAGGTTGCATTATCATATGAACCACTGGACATCCACATAGAGCTTTAGTACCTATTTATTTAGACGGGCGGCTACGGCGGCGGGCAAGGGGTCTCGGGTTCGATTCCCGGGTCGGGCAAAGTATTACTGGGTTTTTAAAAATCTCAGTAGTAGCACGGAGTCTGGACATGTGCCCGGTATATAGCAATAGGCTCACCCCCTATTACATGGGACTCATAATATAAATAGTGAACAAGTAGGTGTTACATTGTATAGTGGCATTAAGTGCCGCAATGGGCACCTCTACATACCCCTTTGGGATAAAAGGCGTGATGTTATGTTATGTTACCTATTTATTAATTAAAAGTAGAAAATATTAAAAACTCGCCAAAGAACGAAAGACGGCAAACGCCGATCGAATTTATTGGAATGTAAAGGTACTGCACTAGTAATTATCGTATACATAGTGTAGAAAAATAAGTGGTGCGACAAACAAGAAAAAAAATCCTGTTTGTCATACTTTTTTTTTTTAAGGGGGGAAAATCATCGAATGACTGCTCCCGCCTGGGTGAGGCGGAAGGGAGTGTCATACTCTTACTGACTCAAAACCACCCGTTCCTTCTCCTGCACGTCGAGCCGGAGCCCCGGTTACCCGTTAGGTTCTCCGCGACTCCGAATCGGCATCGGCCCTATTGGGCCCCATCTGTGGTGGTCTGATGGCTCTTTGAGGCGCGCGCGGAACGCTACGCGCCGTACGCTCGGGTCTGTTTCTGGTCGGACGGGGAGCCACCCATGCTCGCCGTCCGCAGTCCCGCGCTTACGGTGGCCGGAGATCGTCCCGCGATCCCCGACGCCCGGTGTGTCCTTCGCGACGGCTGGGTTGCGAGGGAGGCAGCGCTTTGCTGCCTCACGCGTCCCGCCTCCTCCTTAGCTAGCATGACTGCTTCGCAAAAGGAGGGAGACGGCATCCCAGTCCCCCTCGCTCCGCATCATGGCCTGCACTAGGCCCGGGCGCGAGAGGTCGCCATCCCCGATCACTTCCCTGGGGCACGGCGGTACTCAGCCCACGCAGGGCATTCCGCAACAGTGTGTTCCACCGTGTCCTCAGGGTGGTCCTCGCTGTGATGACACCGGGCGTTTCCTCCGCCCCATCAGACACAGGTACCTCCCGAAACTTCCATGTCCGGTGAGGACCTGCGTCAGGCGGTAGGTGAGGACGCCGTAGCGTCTCTCAAGCCACTCCTCAAAGAGGGGACTTACCGCTGCAATGGCAGCGAGCCCAGCCCTCGGTTGTGACAGTCGTTGCTGCCATTCCGCCATGAGATCGCGCCGGAGCTCATCCCGCCACGCACTTATCTGGCGCGGCAGCGGAGTTTCGCCCCGGCGACGTGCCTCCGCGCGCATGTGATACACGCGCGCGAGCACCTTCGCCTCCAGATCTCACGGCGGTAATCCGGCAAGGAGGTTCGCCGACTCCCCAGAGATCGTGCGGTATCCGCGGATCATTCGGATCGCCATGACCCTCCGTGCCATAAGCAGCGCCTGAGCGGGCCGCTGCAGCAGGTTCGGCGCCCAAACAGGGGCGCCGTAGAGAGCCATGGACCGCACGACCCCGGCGTATAACCTCCGGCAGGAGGCGTTTGGCCCACCGAGGTTGGGGAGGATGCGCTTAAACGCAGCCCCCACCCTCGCCAACTTTGGTGTTTGTCATACTGGTGTGATAATCTGGTGTGACTACGTGTCGGTAAGGCATTTTTTAGGGGGGAAAATCCCAAAAATGGCTTCTCCCGCCCGGGGTGGGTGAGGCAAAAGAGTCTCGGACTCTTACTGACTCAAAACCACCCCGTTCCCGTTAAGGCTTCCGCGGCTCCGTATCGGCATCAGCCCTGTTGGGCCCCATCTATGGTGGTCTAATGTCTACCTCTATCTACCCCTAGATATTAGAAAGTAAACGTTTGATCACTCAGTGTCATATACTTTAAAGTTTATTTGACTTTCTATTTGTTAAGGATAATGCGTTCTGATGAATGCGTATCGTGATTAGTGTTTTTACTTTCTAGAAATGTACGACGCGCTCCATCGTAGACCGAGAAACCGAGATGCGAGATAGTAGTCAAACGTCGGCCCATCAAATTAAAAAAATATGAAACCTAACTACGTTTAGCTAGTCAAGTTAGGCAGAAAAGTCGTTTATACCTACATAGAAGGTAAAAAAAATATATATTATTTCATAAACTTAATTGTTTTCACTTTTCCCTTCAATACAATTCCTTCAGAACACAGAAAGGTCGTGTTATGCATGTGCCACTTAATCATCATCATCATAACACCCATAAGACATCCTAGAAGAACATACATCTCTTCATGAAAAACAAACTCTACGTAAAACAACGAAACATTTTCTTTTGTCTAAAAAATCATAGCAACATTTTTCCAGCGAAATAATTTTATCAGACTTTCATACGCCTAACGCCAACCCAATAGCAAAATCACATAACATCGCCTTACTATTACGTGAAGACTAGGCACTGAATTACTGCCGCACTAGAACGTAGAAATTTGAAACGTATTTCTTTGAGAATAAAGCTCATTTTTGTTCACAGATGTTAGGCGACTGGTACGTAGTGGAATATTATGCGAGCGCTGAAGAGGCTCTTTCGTACAGCTGTATGAAAGCAGTTTTCACTGAAGACGACCACGTTCCTACCGCAGGTTCATATAAAATAGTATTTTTCATTTGAAATCTTGTTAAAGTTTGAAATAGGTATATTAAATTTTTGATGGATATTTCGTCAACGTGGTGAAATTATGTACCTAATGGTATTAAAATTTTACAGTAGCAAGATTTTTCATTACAAAACATTAAGCTACCTATAAAGGCTTAACTAAGTTAATAAAATGAAACAAAGGAATAATACACATTGAAAACAGTTAAAAGTTAAAGAATTAACATTATAAGTTTAAAAAATTAGTAATAGATCTCAAAAAAAAAATAATCAAATCGTTTTATCACAATGACATGTACAGAAACGAAATATTTGACTAAACAATACCGCGTTCCCTTCATTCCAGATGGTTCCATAGAGTTTACGCCAGGAGTGACCATGAACTTTACCTACCGTTTTGCTGACGACCCTTTGGGCGAGAACCTGCTTGGAAATATTACTTGGAGGGTCGATTTGAACGAACCGGCACATTGGACCCATGCTGAAAAGACTTGTAAGTATACCTATATGAATTTGAATTTAAGTTGATTACTCAGTAATTACTTCTAAGTAATTCAATGCTCCGTTAAAATAATTAAGGGGCAATGTTATAGTCGAGAGCCAAGCCCTAATTTCAATATTCGGTTGCCAAAAATATTAAATGCTTAGATTTCGTAATGCTCATCAGTTAAGCCTGGATTTCAGTCTGATTATACACAAATGTTTCGATACTTCTCTAACTTCAGTCGTTAACAAATCAATATTCAATAACAATGAATTCTAAGAAAGTTGTAAGAATACACGATTCCTTTATCAAAAAGAAATATTTTACAATAAAAACATGTAAAGGAAACATCGAAACTGATTCTGTAATCTCTTCATAAATCTTTGTATTGGACCAAATACCGCATGTATTTCCCTTAAGGGTAATTGTGTATGCTTTGTGTCTATGTGGAGACAGTTTTCCTCCCTGCCCTCTTAATATAATCCCTCGGCAGGCTACTCCGACACGGCACTCATTATTCTTAGGACCACGTGACAATTAATTAAGATAAGTCCTTCAGTTGTAGGGTTTCTTCACTATAATGCTTTTGTGTAGTTAAACGATGTAAGTAATTGAGTGTTAGTTAGGTCAGAAGTGTCAGGGATTTGTGGTTGTCGAAATGCTTTATTGATGTGAATTGGTGTTTCTTGTGGTTTCATATACTGATATGGTATGGTATTTTTGACCCTTAAATTTTTTCATACAAAAGTAAGCTCTAAACATTGGAAATTATGCCTATAATGTAGTTAGTGGAGACGGGTATATGGGTTCGTTTTGGACCTGTTTATTTTTAAAAGATGCTGAATCAAATCTGTCAGTGATTGTCACTGTTATAATAAGACTGCGTCATTGGCCGAGAGGTCGCAAGTGGGACTGCCGAGCAAGGGGTCTCGGATCCGATTCCCGGGGCAAAATATTACTGGGTTCCAAAAAACCTGTCAAAATTTTAAATAACTTATAACTAAATTTTCTAATTACGTTTATAAATCTTTCAGATGACGGCATATACAACACATATGTACTAGATACTGAGTACAAGACCTGGGCTTTACTCCTCCACTGCGCGGAGCAGACGGAAGGCGCAAGGTATTTGAGTGCATTCGTCCTCTCACGAAACACGACGCTACCGAAGAACGTAATGGCTTATTTACGGGATAAGTTGCCTAGGTAGGTAGAACAGTGATTTTTGTTGAAGACTGACAATTTTGTCTCTAATATATTTCTTATCCTATAAAAAAATTATGATCAGTTCACTACCAAATCAGTATCTGACAATAACCCTTACCATAACAATCAATTAGTGATAACCATACCTTGTGAAGATCAACCATGAGAGTGTAGTTTGCTGATGATACTTTGCTTTTATTTAAAACATTTTTTATGGGATCAGCCAGTACCTAAATGAGCAGACAGATCAACTGATGGTAAGCAATCGTCACCGCCCATGGACACCCAGAACACCAGAGGCATTATAAGTGCGTTACCGGCTTCCGATAATCTCAATCACAACGCAAGCGTTGTTTCACGACGGTTTTCTGTGGTATCATTGGGTATTATTCCGGTCGAGCCGGCCCATTCCTGCCGAAGCGTGGCTCTTTCACACTAAGATATTTTAAAATCGAATTAATTTACTTTAAGATTTAGATTAGGATTACTTAAATCCTTTTTCAAGAGATAAATCCCAGAACTGAGTGTAAAATTAACAAGAAAAACACTTACATTAAAATAAGAAAACCTGTTCATTCCTCGATGCCCTACCAGCTGTAGAGAACGGCCAATATTTCTCGTTTATTTCGCTAAACTTTTTAACCCTAATTTATCGACTTTGCGCCTTAGTTCAAAAGCACTCCTTTCAAATTAACGAACTGTGTTGGCCTCTTGTAGTTTCAATCTAAGGGTACAACTTGTACTTTATTGAGCCTAACTTTGAAAACTGAAAATGTCTGAAATCTGCTTTACAAAAGAAAACTAATTTTTTTTTCTTTCGGAATACTAGAGAGCAATTTTGGTTTCTCATCTACAATGATGGGGATCCTCTCGAATCTTCATATCTCCCTAGAACATCATGCTATTTGTGTTGTTTGTAAAAATGTTTATAAATGCCGTCTTTCTTCCAGATACGATGTTGACGTCAACTACGTGTTTCCGATTCCACATAAAGATTGTTCTACTAAACCGCCCATGTTCGATTACTCGCCCATTTTAGTAGAGGTTGGCAGTAAAGTACCGAAGCGGCCAGGGGTTAGCTACAAAGTGGCTTTTGGACATTAAGTAAATAATGTAATAACATTATTGTGTAATAATAAAGAGTCAACTTGTAATATAGATGTAGAACCGAATTATTGTCAGTGTTATTAATAGAAATATTTTTATGGACGAACATGGTTTACTTTGTTTTTCTGTGAGAATAGGTACTGCTATTCTCCATCAACATTTATCGTTCCTATTATCATAACCGAGCCACCTTAATACCCCTTTTTACAACAATAAAAATATAACACGTACGACAATACAAAAAAAAAAGAAAAAACGCGTAAGTGGAGAAAAATTAAGTAATTACCTCTATATAAAATATTCAGTGTAAATTGATAATGATATTCATAAGTAACTTCCTATGATAATACCTTTCAATCATTGTAATGATTAACCTTAGTAAATCTTTTGAACCAAAAAAGCACGATTGTCTTGAAAAAAAATATTATTTCTTGACTGGTTATTGGTGATGCTGGTGGAGAGGTTGGTGATCTAACTGCGGGTGAGGCTGGTGGAGGTGATCATGCGGTTGGTGATGTGGCTGGTGATTCGGCTGATGGTGCCGTTGATGATGCGGGCGTTGTTTTGGAACTGCAGTTGTAGCAGTGGTAGCAGGTGGAGCAGGCGTTGCCGGTACTGACACCAGCTCCAGATTTCCAGCAGTATCACGCCTTAAAACTGTTTAATCGATGTAAATTATAACGACGATATTGTGTACATAGCTTTAAAATAGCAAGTGTAAACACAACCGGATTCAAAATTTTTTTTTTAATTATTAACTTTATGTTAAAAAGAAAAAGGTACTCAGTTTTAAACTAATCGATGGAAAGATAGATAATTATATTCTGGTCCCTTATGGTGCTTTTTCACCGGAGATGTGCTATGCTACGTTGCTGTGTGCAATTATATTCATTGGTACACATAACTTAGCACTGGTGGAAACGTATTCAACTAAGATATTTTTTATACGCAAGGATGTGTGCTATGGATGCGTGCCGCCCTCACCGCTTACCTAATATCGATACATCGCATAGCTGCGCGCATCTTCATAGGACATCTTACTCGCATCACTACATAGCTAAGTATCAGTGGAAACGTAGTTCACGTTCACGTTCACGTGGTCACGTAGTTTCACAGCTTAGCTATTACATTCTCGCAGGATAGCTACATAGCACTTCTCTGGTGGAAAAGCACCCTTAGGCCCGATGCTTCAAAGTGGAACTCACGTGGTTTGGTCGTGCTAGTGACATCTAGTGGAGGGCGCGGCGTGTCGTACTCGATAGTTGCATACGGCTGATCGCCGAAGTAACCGTAATCGTAGTAGCCATATCCGGGAAAACTGCCATCACACCAAGGGACTGATACAAAGGGTGTGACAGCGTGCTAAGGAAAATTAAAATAGAATTAATTTGTCAATATAACACTTATAAAGGTTAGATCTAACTATCATTTGATTGAAATCACTGTTGTCTAGTTTGGACTAGTGTAATTTGTACCTTGAATCTAGACTTAACAGCCTGCTTCAAATATATTAAAAAAACTATATCATTCCATCTCGGTTTAAAAAATTTAGACTGACGATGAAAAATATTGAATAAACTAAAAATAACGGTTCACCCACGTTAATATTCTGAGTAAAGCTCTACTAGTTTCGAGTCACAGAGGGACTCTTCTTCATGAGCAGCGCGCAGTCGCGGCGACGTCGCGCAGCCTAAATTGTTATTTTTAGTTCATTCAGTACGTCTCACGATATTTATTATAAAACATAAAGAATATTAACTTTATATGCAATACAAACCTCCGCGATGTATAGACAAATCACCAAAAAGTGTAGATACGCTCGCACTTCACCCATGTTTCTTGTGTTATCATGAAAAACCAAGCACACAACTCCTTTCATACTTATAATAAAATCTGATATACTTATATTAGTACCTACGACCTACAATCGCCTCATAATGCGTGTATTATTTTTAGTAGATAATAAATAAGTATGCAATATAGAAGTTTAGTCGTGCATGGTCTAAATTATTTAATGTTTGGTTAAAAAGCATTAAAAAGTATCGTTATGCAGGTCATATGTCGCGGAGAACCTAACGGGTAACCGGGGCTCCGGCTCGACGTGCAGGAGAAGGAACGGGGTGGTTTTTAGTCAGTAAGAGTCTGACACTCCCCCCCGCCTCACCCAGGCGGGAGCAGTCATTCGATGATTTTCCCCCCTTAAAAAAAAAAATGCAGGTCATATCATGTCTTGTCTTGAGGTTTTTATTAATCAAAATACCCTGGCAGAATGTCATTGGACTTAACTCTTCGAAGTATTGAAGTGGACGTTTGTGGCCAGATGTGTTCTAGTAATGAGGTTCTCAGAGTCCTTGAATACTTCGGTCACATTGCAAGGAAAAACCCCACCTTTCATTGGAATGTGACCGACGTTGAAGAATTAATAACCTAGAAAGACTCATTGTAACTGGAAAAGTAGACGAGAAAAGGCCTCCCGGTCGACACCACACGTCTAGATTCCACTAATGGAAAACGAATCAAGGAAGAGGATTCCGGTAAAAACCGATGATATTTTATACTTTTAAGTACCGTACCGATTACAAATGTACCTATTGATTTCCATAACATAGCAATGTGTATAAACTAAAGTGTCTATAGCAAAGAAACAATGAAATCTCTTCATGTTACCGCTTGGGTTTTTTGTAATGTTGACACCTGTTTTGTAGATGTTATTACTTATTCTTTCCAAATCATGTTATACTGCTGTGTTAGTTGGGTACCTATAATTAGATCATTATATTTTTCATAACATAACATAACATCACGCCTTATATCCCCGAAGGAGTAGGCAGAGGTGCACATTATGCCACTGTTACAATGTAACAATCACTTTTCACTATTTATGTTATGAGTCCCATGTAATAGGGGGTGAGCCTATTGCCATATACCGGGCACAATTCCAGACTCCGTGCTACTACTGAGAATTTTTTTTTTAAAACCCAGTAATACTTTGCCCGACCCGGGAATCGAACCCGAGACCCCTTGCCCGGTAGTCGCACTTGCGACCACTCGGCTAACGAGGCAGTCCTTTATAGTTTTCATTCGATCAATAATCTTGTAAAATTCTGCTATCCTCATTAACTTTTCTGATTAACCTGTCCATGTCCTGTAATCTCTTATTTTCTATAGAAGTAAATAAGTATGTACAGAAGACAAAAAGCTACAATGTCTACTTGAAATAACTAAATAAATATTAGAAACTCATGTGTAAGATAAAACACAATACTTAAGTAGTTACAATTGAAAAAAACATATTTTTCTAACATATTGTTTAAAGAAAATAAAACTGACCATGAGACAAATATACAAAAAGAACTAAACTGGAGCACATACGCAAATAATATAGAAAAATTAATACACCAGTAAAATAAAGGCTAAAGATTTTATAGTTGCATGGCTAAAATTTTATTGCAAATTCAATACTGAGAACGCCTTCAAAGAACTGATAGGGCATGCACATTGTTCTAAGCAGCATTAGTATGCCACAGGGGAGACGTCTATACACAGGACATTAAACGGGCACACTTGTGTTATGACATTCAAAGTTGACCGTGTCTAACAAAGCTAGTAATAGCCAAGCAAAATTAAAACAGTCGTGTATGAGTAACTCGTGATTGTCATTGTAAAATTAGAATATTCACAAAACCAAGGTAACAGCTTTACGATTTTAACAAGGACTGAAATGTAGACTACAAAATATGGTCTAAAATGTAGTTTTAGAAAGAATAGTTTGCACTGGATTTTCTTTTAATTTAGAATACGATTTGGTAGCCATCGGAGTTTTAAACTTTTTCACATCTCCGATACCTAAGTATGTACCTACTTGAAATTGCATTCGACATCTATTAAAAACTCGGTGTAGTTAAAAACTTGCCACGTCACGTTTGGCACTGTGGCACGCGTGTAGAAGCGTACATAGCTTAAAAAGTTTAGAGTAGACAGCACTGACTGATGCCCGGTTTCTGCCAAATGTGAAGTCTCATAGTTGCCAGATTCTTACGAGATTAATAAATAATTAACATTTTGAATACACCGATAAAAGACACAATAGAAAATACATTGTGTCTCGCGTGGATCCACGTCTTAGACACACGTTAAATGGTTAAAATGACTATACTACGATTAAAAAAAAGAAGTAACAGATCTCGTTGATTAAACGAATACTTTGGTATATAATTATTGCTTTATCTTTAAGTTATAACTAGGTACTGAAAATAATGTAGGACACAGTTCTAGTAAGTAGTACTTATTAGTAATATGTAGTAATTTTAGTAAGTTAATATTAGTATATCAGGCGTCTTTATAAGTATAGCAAGAGTTTATGATAACGCCACTAACATGGGTAATGAGCGAACGTAGATAGGTGGTGACGATATTTTCTGGTGATTTGCGACTTAAACACACACTTGAGGTTTGTTTTAAAAATAAATATTTTAGTGACGTTTTTATTTGTATTTTGATTACGTAGATTTCAAGTGTTTAATTTACAATTTTTTGGAGACACAACGTTCATTTTCATATTCAAAATATTTGTAGAATGCTTTTCAATCTGTGTCCAATTTTATTAGCATTAATCGATCGAAACGAATCGAATGTAATGTAATCGAAACCTTATACATCTTATATGAAGAATTTAATTAAATTAATGCTAATTTCTTCTAATTTCTTTAAAGGAAATAATAACAACATTACCAGCGGCATTCCGTAAGTATTGACAACTTTTTTATAAATTGTCAAAAATTGGACTCTGCCTGCCCTCAGGCGACTGGTTTTAGTGTCGCGCTGATGGGACGAGATATATGAACTTCTAGGAAGTTCTGAGCACTAAGTTCATATATACATCTCGGCTGTCAGTGCTACCGGTTAGAGTACAGTCAGCGTAACACTAAAACCAGCCTCACTAAAACCGCCCAGTTTTAACTCTTACATTATACCGGTACGGCTGATTATATGGCTAATCTGGCCCGCGACCCCAATCCTAGAAAGCATCGACCGTAGGGGGTCCCGTTTGATTATGACTGATTGATTATAGTCTGACTGTTCTTTGAGGCTCACGTCTGATATTGGTTGAGCGAGGTACCCTTACTTACACACAAACCCGGTATTACTATGACAAGCATGAGACAATGAAGCTATATTAAGCGATATTAAGGCTAAAAAATGTTGGAATCTCTCCTTTTGAATTCTATTTTCCGCATTGTTATAATGGCTACTGCACAGATATATTAAAATATTTCTGTGGGCTACAGTCTACAGAAATACTATTTTTAATGTTATTTTAAAGAATTTTAAATGTTTTATTGTCACGATATACCTACGTTATATACAAACTAGATACAATTGCTATTTCATTACAAGGGCCAGCGACGGTGGTGGTAAGCCAGAACTGCTGTGGTGTGTACTAAGTAAGCCTGCTGCAGCGACCACATCTTCAACTGCAGCTCCTGCAACTGTTAAGAAACTATTTATCTCATAAGTACAGTATATCCGATATCTAATTATATTTATAATAATAATTAATACGTTTAAATTTTGAGTGTGATTACTGATCACTTTCTATAGGTTAAAAATAATCAACATAGGAAATGACGTCACATTGACTTTTTTTTAAGGGGCGAAAATCATCGAATGACTGCTCCCGCCTGGGTGAGGCGGAAGGGAGTGTCAGACTCTTACTGACTAAAAACCACCCCGTTCCTTCTCCTGCACGTCGAGCCGGAGCCGGTTACCCGTTAGGTTCTCCGCGACACGTCACATTGACTTACACATCAAATCGGTTCAGCCGTTTTGGATAGTTACAGATACACAAAGTTACATTGTTAGTGTCGGGGGTCGAAAAAGGATAATATGATTATTATTTTTGTCTGATCTAAGTATATTTCAATTTATAAGATAATTGGATTGTGCAAAGAATTAGAAAAGAAATAATTATGTGATGACGTCTGATAGATGAAAATGGAAAACAAAAGTCATACCTAATAAAGTGCATTAATTTCGGGATTATGGCAACAAAAAAAAAACAACAGTATAATACTACCCCTTGACAAAACAAAAAGAAATAAGATGAGAGATCGTTTTATTTATTTTATGACAGAAACACAATCATAATTTATTAGTTGAAAGAACAATGTTCTAATTTACGTGGTTTTTCCATGCCATGAGGCTCCAAAATCTGGAAAACCCCAAGACCGTTCTCTCCACGATGGTAAACAAAAATTTCTCAAAATATAAACCAAACACGGCCTCGACCTTGAAATCGCACATCCGTTGAAAATAATGCATACATTCTGTGGCAATTGTATTCGTATTAGTAATTCAGGCGTCTTGCGCAAAGGCTTCGTTATAAGTATGAAAGGAACTGAGCGCATGTTTTTTTCAATAACACCACAAACATGAGTGAGGTGCGATCGTGTGTATATTTTTTGGTGATTTGTCTGTGTGTACAAATATCTGTCGCTAAGGTTTGTATTTGAAATTAATATTTTTCGGACGTTATTTTCGAAGGTAAAACAAAAACTTTTGACGTTTAATTGCCCTTTTTAGGCAATATTTTTTAATAAGTTTCTTATTTTTCGAAAATATTTAATTTCTAACTGCACTGAATAATATTAATAGATCATCAAAATACTATTCATTTATTTTATTACTTCTTTAATATTGACCAACAACTTTTACAACTTCCTCAACTTCTTCAGCCCTTCTTCGGACCTCGGTTTTGGTGCGATTTACTATGCGAAGAAGATGATGGTTTTACAACAACTGCTAGTTATGAGGATTACTACGATGCATTATGTAACGAATGCCCTACAAGACGACCCAGCACTCCAACAACCATGATGCCACCAGCCAATATGCCACAAGGTGTGCCCAACCCTGGGGCACCTGGAATGCCACCTATGGGAGCACCAGGACAGCCACCAGTAATAATGATGTCACGTAAGTCTCCATTAGTAAATCATTTTCTATTCGGTACAACATAATAGAGGTGGAATACTATAGAGAAAGGTGGAAACTGATAGTTCATACGTTGAACTAGAAGTTATCTCGCGGTGTGATAAAGATTGCCACGAAGCAACTACGAAACAGAGGTAGACCATATAAATATTTTTTAATAACAAATAAGTCATACCAGGAGTTGCGGACCTACCGGGTTACCGGTACTCCGGCTCAAAGCAAGAGTGGACCGGGTTGTCTTTAATCAAAAATGAGTTACTTGGCTCACTCAAGGCAAATCTTACATCCTAAAACTGAAAATTTTCGCTTATATAATTTTATATTTCTAACTAGCTAACTTCGTTCCTCCTAAAATTATTTTTCTTACTACTTTTTAAACTTTCCATGGTCTTCCACGAACATTTTAAGGCCAAAATTAACCAATTTGGTTCAGCTTTTCTCAAGTTTTAGCGAGACTAACGAACGGAAATTCATTTTTATTTATATTCTAATAAGCCTCCTTGAAAAAGGACTGATTCTCTTGGCTATATCATTTTAATGCCTATACATCTTATCGTCTCTTGTCAATCACACGGTGTGTCAGATTAGCTGCCTCTATCTTAAAATAATTCCAATGGACGACGTCGAGGGTTTTAATGAGTTATTTACAGCAAACTTGACGGTCATACGAAAATATCATAAAAACCGGTTCTGAAATCGAATATTTTATCCAATTTCTCACAGGTTATGGTGACTTAACTACACTTATGGTGAAAAGTAAATTATTTCCATTTGAATTAGTTAATTCGTCATAGTGGCTTTGTTATGTGGCAGAATTAAAAAACGAAAAGTATATTATTGTAATTTCTAGAAGTATAAACAAAAAATCCTTTGTTAGAAGTTCCTAATGAAATATCCTTCATCTGAAATAAATGTAAGAACTCATTTGTAGAATTCATCAGATTTTTGATTTATTCCGTTGAGGTGGCAGACAACTGAGATTCTCGCATTTACTTTATAAGTATCATAGTCTGCTAAAAAGGTAGATACCACCTGTCTCATTTTACTATTCATGTAATGACGGTCTTTTAATAATTTTTCAGGATCAAAACAGTTATTTTTAATCCTACGACCTACCTATCTGATTTCAATGCCTAGTAATTTTTAGAAATAGTCCTAATAAAAGGATTCCGAAACTATTTATTAAATATTTCTATCCCTAAAACTATTGCGTTTTCTAATAAAAAATTAAACGAGGTTTGATTGATTAGTAAGTCTGTTTAGACATAGTTACACACACCTTTAAGTACCGAATTAATTGCGCGTTGAAATTACCAGATTGATGCGTTAACATTTCCTTTCATTCATTAATGCATTCCGAATCAATTAATGATTACTACACATCAAACTACCAGTTTATGATCTTAGCATGATGATCTCAATTTTTAATATTTCCAATTTCCTTCTAATACAAGTTAACTGTTTCCAGGATACATAGTATTCTGTAGTGAAAATAATATTAAGTAAAAATCAGCACATAATGATTTGTTCTCGCTCTGAATCAAATATTTTAAAGGCAGTTCATACTTGTATATGGTCTTTGCTTGAGCAACAACAATTTGTGGATCACACAAAAAGTGGTTCCGTGCGAGAATCGAACCCGCGACACGTTGCACAGCAGCCAGTTGCACAGCAACCGCGCCAACCGTGCAGTCGAATTGATTCAATTGTATGATATTTGCAAAATAATTATTCCATCAAATCTTTGTAGACAGTAACATTGTTGTAGTGAACATTTTACTTTACGTCATCAACTCCTTTTAAAATAGGATAATTGACAAGCATAACATTTTCAAAGCAATGTTTTCAAGAAGCGACATTATTATTTAAAACACCGTCTGTGTGATCATTTTCTTCTGTGTCATCGTGGATAAAGATACGGAGGGGTTTGGTTACAATAAGCCGGAAAATATTAAGAGTTTTCCACAATCAGAAGTGAGAGTAAAGTAAAACTATTTTAAGCATATTGATCTAATGAAAACGTTTACAATTTCAGCCAACCAGGGTGGAATGAGCGTCAATATGATACCGGATCCAAATCGGGTTAACGGATGGACTTTCAATTTCGGACCGTGGAATCCAGCAGGGCAGTCTAGACCACCTATGGCTACTCCTGCTCCAATGCCACCGGCAGGACCAGCTGCTGCTGGTACAAATTCTGAGCCAGTGACAGTGCCTGCTCCACCTGCAGTTGCTGCTACTACTGCAGCTCCTGCTACAACTGCAGCTCCTGTAACAACTGCCGCCCCTGCCGCTCCAGGTGCAGCTCCAGCCGCTCCTGCTCCAGCAGCTGACGCTCCACCAGCAGCTCCCGCCGCACCACCAGCCAGGAAATAATTAATTTGATAAGTCAAGATTGTGCCTTTCTTAGCTCATAAGATTTGCTTCAGTCATTACAATGATTGAAGGGTTCGTAAAAGTATTGTCATTAGTCATTTTGAAGTCATCTGTGTTATCGTGGGGATGTGGAATTATTGAGATACATTCACAAATTAAGGGAAACATCTATTAACATTTTTTTGAACAATTCAAAAGAATAGTGAAATACACAAGTTTGTTTCCTTCATGCACTTTTTTATAATTTCAATGATTTCACATCACTAAACAGAAGTCTCCAAATTGATGGAGTAAGTAAGTACTTAAGTTGATTTAAATAAGAAAAATAATATTTAATATGTCCCTAAGGATTTTGTGTACGAGGATCGAATTAGTTGTAAGAACAATAAGAAGTCAAATAAATAGTATTAAAGGTTCAAACACGGTACTTGTTTGGTTTATTTTACAGAGGATTTTTTTACAGTATTTAGAACATGACCGAGAGCGATTGAAATCGAGTTAAATTACGACTGTCAAACAGAACACCTGAGGTTCGAATCCTAGATCGAGCAAAGTGATTGGAGTTTAAGCCCAGTTATACTTAGAACGGAACATGGAAATTAGTTCGGTGAAAAGGGGGTGTTATAATAATATTTACAGTGAAATCTGAATCTATGATAATTGTTTGGGGTAGTCTTAATAGCAATTATCCTAAATGAATTTCGAATCGAATCTAGTAGGACAATACCAAAACTCATATCGTGTGGGTCTGAAAGGGTCAAGAAAAAGTAAAATAAGGGTCATCATCCCGAGGATGGACCAATTTGTTTCTTAATATATTACGTCACCTGTTCCTGTCTTTGACTTAGTGGAGCATGTCATGTAGCCTAGCGATCAACATAAAACTAATTTGCTGGACGACGGCCATGTGACATAAATGCCGGTGTTAATACAAATTCTATGTTACCCACAGTAAGGTTAAAATTAGCTTGACAAAGTTTTCATCCAGATAAGCAAGATGAATATTAGATGGAGATTATGTGAGAGGCTCAGGAATTATTAAGTGTACTTAGTCTTTGTACGCAAGGATAAGGAATGGCGAAATTAATAATACGTAAGTTCAAAAGAAAATATGATGAGTTTTGTATCGCTGTGCTTATTTATTAATTTATGAAATTGATTCTTGGAATAATAAAAGTAAACCGTATTTTTTCGCTAGGTACTAATATATTATTGTTTTTACTTTATCTAGTTGCAAAAGATTCAATACAAAAAAACTTTACTTCACGAAAAAAAACTTTATAAAATTTCACGCTAAAAAACAAGTGACGTGTACAGATGTGTTATTTAATTAGTAGGTACTGATGGATACATGTTAATGTCACAAAACTGTCGTAAAATGGGACCAATTCAGCATGTGCAAGACAGTACGCAATGCCTTTGCGCTGGTATTCCACAATCCCCTTTAAATGCTTTAATTTTCCTAACAATATCAAAAACACGTCACAGGTTAAAAAGTTACCCTTAGTACAAAATAATGAAGTTTTTTCATATTTTATTGCCAAAATAACAACCAATAATAAAACTTTCAGGGCTTTAGGAATTGGTAACAGGAAAACACATATCATAACTCAACGCAGGCGTTAGCAAACGCAATGTCAATAACAACAATACAACGCCTTTTTCTCCTATTGTTGAAAAGCTATTTATTAATTGTAGCTATATTACGTGGGACAATCGATGCACAGCAAAATTAGCGGTTTCCTCTGTCGTTTTGCTAATTAATCCGGCTGCATACATTCCTAATGATTATGCAGGTAGGTGAATTGCGTTCCCACGACCGTTCCAGCTATCTCTCGCATAGATGTTTAGGTTAACATCGATTTTAAGTCTTTGGGATAGCTCACATTCATAGTAATTATAGCAGGTTTAATTAGTTTGCAAAATAGTTGTTTCATTGGCGTTTATTATTATTTTATTTACTTGTTTATCTGTCATTCAGATGTCGTTCCACTTTAATGTAAATGCGTACTTAGTCATTGTCGATGACTCTATTTGCACAGAAATACGCTCCCACGGGAACCATTCAATAAGGGATAACAATAGTAATATAATTTCCTAGACTAAAGTCTGTATCCGTATAATTTGGTTGATTAATGAAGCTTCGACATTTCACGTGAATAAATAAGGTCGTGTTTCTTTTGTGTATTATAAAATCATCTGCACCTTACGTACATACGTAGAGACTTGGTCATCTTTTAGATAAGAGTAAACCTAACCTTATCTACCTTCAGACATATACAAATACAATATCGAAACACACACATGAAATCCTATTGATACAAGAACAAACGCACTATATAATGTATGTCATGGGCCTTTCAAAGTAAAAAAAAATCTGCGTAAATCAATCAGGAATTTTGATCACGTAGCGTGAGTACCATATCAGGGCCTGAACAGATGGCATGGCGAATTGCTATATCACTTGTTTGAATAGCTACACAATACTAAATATTTCGTATTGGTTATATTATTATCGTTCAAGGTTCGATATGCATTTGTTTTGTTCTTTTGTGTAGGGTATCCCACGATGGGTTTTCTTCGTAAATCGTGCATGTTTGTGGTCTAATTATCAATTGCGGTTTGTTTATTATCAAAATCTTTGTTCTACGATTTTATTGTTTTGAGTCATGGTTCGTCGGTCGTTCTTTTTTCATTAAATATTGTTTTTGGACAAATAATTTGGTGTACAAGAATTGATGGTTTATTGATTTATTGTTTCATATCGAGTGAAAATATTTTCCATTCTAATAAGATTTTCAAAGTAAAGAAGAAAAAACGGTTCAATCCTATTTTCCTGCATCATGACAAAACAAGCATCGTATAAAATCGTCGCCAATATATTAAAATTTCGCCTCTAAAATATCGAAGAGCGGTAGTCACGTTCACGTTCGACTTCAAAAGCAATTTTCCCGTCGACTCTCGATCTGCATTGGAATCTTGTAATATTTCGCAAACCGTAATAGTGTTCGGAGGTAACCACATACTATGCATGTCAAAGATACTTGAGAATTTTGTGACTATCTTCTTTGTAGGTGGCATATCAACAAAGTTTATAAAAACAAAGGGGTTTCAAAAGAAGAAAATAAGATAAGGGAATAGACAATATGATACGATCATGTACCGATTTAGTTTTTAAGTAGCTGCTAAACACTATCTTTCTACTGGCTTTCCTCTGAATACTTCGAGAAGAATGCTTTCAAGGTATTACAAACCAACTCTATTTCGATCACAAATTGATTCTAGTCCTAAAAACAAAAAAAACATTTCAAAAGTTTAATTGAAAAAATGGGTAGCCTGAAACTGGTGCGTATTGGTTGTCAAACTTTCAGGGTGACTATTGAAAACTGAAAATATTGAAAGGGTGAACGTAAAGTTGTAAAATACCGTTCAGATTAGAATATAAAAATGTGTTTGGAATTTATAAATGGATAGATAGACAGCATATTCGGGAACGGGAATATTAATTTTTGGACACCAAGACTTGTTCCACACGGAAATCGAAGTCGCGATAATCGTCGATTAATTAATCGTTTTAATAAACTGCACCGTTTAGATTGCAGCACTAGATATAGTTCACAATGGAAGGACAACAATAGTTGCATACGAGTCCTGCATGCAAATACCTCCAGTTTAGCAAGTAACACCGGTGTCAAAACTGGTTCACCTTCCAAGAGACTATGACGAAAGTCTCAGGTTTCTCTAGTACACTCTGATTGCGTTGCACTAGACAGGATAACTTCATTGTAGTAAAAAAGCTATTAATTTTTACAACCACGAATGTACTAGCGTTTGTAGTTTCCACAATAAAAGGTTTCAGTTCAACGATTTGATCGCTTTTTGTGTAATAATTCGTCGTTTTATTAATGGGCGGTGCATTCGTTCATTAAATTATAACGTTAAAGAATGTCAATTGAAATACACCATTCACTTATTACATTTGGCAAACATAGTACCAACAAATTTTTATGTGCCTGGTGAAAAATGGTTAGCATATCCTTATCGACGCTACGCGACTCCCTGAAAAAAAGTTTTTGTATGCCATCACATGTTGCTTATATTTATAGCTAAATAGGTATATTTTTTTAAGGGGGGAAAATCATCTAATCACTGCTCCCGGCTGGGGGAGGCGGGAGGGAATGTCAGTCTCTTACTGACTAAAAACTACCCCATTCCTTCTCCTGCACGTCGAGCCGGAGCCCTGGTAGCCCGTTAGGTTCTCCGCGACAAATAGGTATACTAGGAATTGAAAAATGTTGGACCAAATCAAGGGCTTCGAAATAAAGAATGCATTTCTAATTTAAATAATGAGATCAGTATCTGCTCTTACAGATACCTACATCTGCGAAACTGAATTAGACACTAAAAGACAGCTAATAGATAAAAAGTAGAAAATAAACTAGACATATATCATTCACAATTAATTACACACACATGTAGGCACGTACATTGTGTAACCAATTACGATCATGCAACCGTTTACCGTTGTCTTTGTCATTTACATAATGTTATACTTTGTAATTACACCCACAAATACGTGTCTCCGCTTTTAAATGCCGAATAAACATGTAAACGACCACACAAATTAACATTATCATCGTTTAATAGCTCAAAATGTTTATAAAAGTTAATTAATATGCCACAGAAGTGATCTTAAATTTTATTAAGTGAATCAGATATTTTTGCCAATTTCATTTTGCAATTAGTAAAAATAGAAATTATTCATCAGTGGTATTCATATACATTGCAAGGTACAAAAAAGAACCTTAATCTCTATCGCTATAGGCAAGGACCAACAAATCGAGCGGATTGTTAAGTGACCGATTGTCCGTAAGGTAGGCAATTAGATGCATAGCTAATATTTTAAGCCGAAAAACGGGAGTCCAGTAACTGTTAGTATACATACGTAATGTTATTCCTATGATTAGACTAAGCTAAACATTTCATCCATTATCCGTTTTCATGTCTCTTCTTAACTAAGTTGGTGTTTGCACCAAACAGCAAAACTATGCAACTAGTAAATTGTATTGTGAACCTGATTGAAAAAGAGTAACCTATGGAGTTTCTTGCTCGTTCTTCTCCATAGGAATCTACGCGTTGGAATGAGCAAATAGCTTCACTTTAAATTTTTGTTTTCGTTGACGTTCAAAAGTGTCATTCTGGCCTAATTGAAATAAATGGGGTGCGGTGCCAGAAGACCTCCCCGTGGTGCACCCTGGGTGCGGGCGACAGTCTCCCTAGCGGGGGTGATAGGGTTGGAGTGACTGTCGCCCGCAGCAGACTTCTGGACTGGGCGGGCGAACCCGATAGGGTTCTGGAGGCGGCGGGCTGTGTGCGGAGGCTCATAGCCCGCGCTTCCGAGGGGTGTTTCTCCGCCCGTCTCTCTGG